TTGTTATCTTCAGAAGCACTTGATGTGCTTTACATTGATAATTTCAGGTTCCCTAAAAATAAAGTTGGTGATCGTGCGTGCTCCGAAGCAAGTAGATAGAAGTAGCAATTAGCATAGTTTTTACAATTAAAAGGATTTGAATCTTTGTTCTTTAACCTTACAGATGGCTTTGATAGGTTGAGTGAAAGAGGAGGATCCTGATAGACCCCCAAGTTATTCATTCAAGTTGTTATGCCATATCCTAGGAGAGAACCCAGCCTCTCGAATGCTGTGAATTGTTCTTTTACATTCTATGAAATATTAACACAATCTTCAGCTATAATTGTTCTTGCTTTACAGATAAACATAACAAATACAGAGATATACTTCCACAGATTCATCTTCAGTTCTACTTAATCCTCTACAGCACCTATTCCCTAACCAATCTATTAACCAGCAGCTTCACAGGACCATATCAGCAGCACAGCAGCAACTGAGGGTCTTATCAGATCCATTCCAAACAAGTACTAGGTAAGACTTAGTTGAAATACAGCTTTAAATTCAAAGAGAGACAGAGATATGGACATGTGGTTCATTTCCTTATCTATTATCCCAACTGAACCCTGAGGGAGGCTGCAATCTCCAAGAGCAAAAGTTTTTTTGTGTATATATATATTTATATTTATATTTGAGTAATGCTACTTAACACCACGGGTATTACAACCCAAGTCTAGGGGTACTAAGTGTCATTACTGTAAATGAATCACATAATTTCACCTATCACGTAATGCCACGTAGTCTAGTGCTCAAATACCACTAGTGCTAGACAGCAGTATTCTAATTTTTTAGTTCTTTTTTTTTTCCAAGTAGTTAATCATATCTACATATACTTTGCAAACCTCCAATCATATTTCAATAAACTAAATTAAAATAATAATTGACTAGCAACAGGAAAAAAAAAACAACCATTGTTTCATTTCAAAATATTTCTGAGAGTTAAAAGGAATAAAAACTAAAGATTTTTGCTTTCCAG